TCTGCCAGGGTGTCCTGGATGGTTGTCTGTTAGCCATTTTTGTTTCTAATCTCTTTCACTTCCTCGATGACGTTGTTCTTAGCTGGATATTTTGCCGAGTAAATCCGCTGTGAGAAACCTTTGCCTGTGCCCTTATTTCTCATCAAAATATTTTTATTGCACGATCAGGAGATTAGATATGAGGTCATTGAAAATGTGAAAATACAAGTTATCGTCTTGCCCGAGAAAATGCTGCAGAGGCCACTTGCAAAGGTTTCACTAGACTCCAGTGCTGTGCTCAGGCAAGTCAGCTGGGAAACGTCCTTCAGTTTTAAAAACTTGGGACTTTACAGATCCTTCCTCTGGATTGAGTACAGGTCTCGAGAGGATGAATTGTGGGCAGCTCTGCCATCAATCAAAGGACAGCTTTTATGAGCGTGCCCCAGATCAAACTCATCCATCATAAACCAGCCATCCCAACAGCCACTCTCAAATTCTCAGGATCTCGGCAGTGGAAGGGGTTGGGAGGTCTTGAGTTTAGCATTTCTCTAATGCTAGAATCCCCCACCACACTGACAAGCAGGACCCATCTTCCGTTCTAGCACTCCCAGTCACTGTGATCTGAGGCTTCTGCCTGAGTGGCCCCTGAGGTTGGCACACTCTTCCTCAGGAGCTGCAGGGCTATACTACGTAAGCTCCCGCTGGCATCCCCATGCCACCTCCAAAGCCGCAGGCGTCCAGAGGAAAGGCAGGCACCAAAAATACCAACAGGTGTGCTGATGGGATCCCGCCCTACTCAGCACCTGGTTCTCTAATAAGCAGAACTAATGTTTTTTCAGAAACACATGGCAAGCCAGCAGCACCCAATGCATGCTTATTCTTCCGGAACACAAACTTAGGAAAAAATCATCTGTGTAATACTTCTTAACAAACCCACTGAAGGAAGAACTCTTCTCCAAAGCACATATTTCAAACAGAAAGCACCCTGTCGGAACACAGAACTTTTAGACAATCACAGCGTTGAGGAGGGGAGGGGCGTCATTGGCACACAGAAGAAATGTCTCTGTGCTTTGCACGTTAAAGCACCCAGCACCTTGCTTTGCAGTGTGGGTGTGTGTCTGATGTTCCTGAAATTCATTCCTGCTTCCAGAAAGGATTAAGGAGACCCAGGCTGGGGTGCTGCCTGCACTGCTCACTTCTCCCGCGCTAGGAACAGCTTTGTGGTTCTTCCCGGACCTTGCTTTTGGCCCCCGCTTTTCTCCCGGAGGAATGGGTTTTATCAGGGTCTTTTTGTTGGCTGCCCTGGGATAGTTTGGGTTTAGAGTTAAGTCTCCTTTTTCCAGGCAGGAGCCCAGCAGGACCTTGGGTCCATAATGGAGGCGCCACAAGACCAAGCAGGGAGCGAACCAGCAGGAGGGAAGTGAGGACGGGCAGCCTCCCTGCGAGCGGTGTGGGCCAGCAACGGCCTTCAGGGCGTCCCGCAAGCATTTCCAACCTGGACTCTGGGGAGGACATGTCTGTCCACATCTGAACTTACTGACAGACATACAGATAAAGATGCATGCACACACACACACTTACATATCCTTATATAATCCTAGATATGTGTGTGTGCGTCTATAGCTATATACACATGTATACAGGAGGGCTTAAACATACATACACATACATATCTAAGGATAGACAGCGCTCTGTGTGTGTGTGTGTGTATTTAAAACCATCAAGTGACCTGTGCGATGAGGGATGTGTGTTGCTTTCGGGCTCTACGCCCTGGCTGACACTTTGGAAGGCCTTGGCTGGAGGTGCAGGTGCGGACCGCGTCAGGTGCTTAAGGACCTGCATGCAATCAGCAGGCTGTGGCTGCCCAGCCCCTGAGTGTGGAGGAGGTGCCGGGAACTCCTGCAAGGAGGAGCATCTGGCTGTGGGAGGAAAGAGTCAGCACCCAGATGAGGAAACACTATTTGGAAAGGCAGCAGCTGAGACTTATGCGTTTTCAGAAACTGGGCCAACAGGGAAAACTCTTTACCTCCATCTAAGAATGATTTTTAGGGCAAAATAAAGTTTGCTCTGGCGCGAATAAGTAAGAGCATCTCTTTTCCTCCCTTCCCTTCCCGCACTCCTTCCCGCTGTGGGCTCCCGGCATGGCCAGCACGCTACCGCCACGCCTGCTTCCTAACAGCAGCACCGGTCTGTGCCCCTATGGGGGATGCCGTGTTCCTGGTTCTGCAGACTGTCAGCCCAGCCACACCATGTAGTGTGCAGATGTGCACTCTCAAAGAAGATTCTGGCAGAGTCTCTTTGAAATCCCTCTGGCCACACCTGGAAGCCGTGCTTTGGAGCTGGGTCTTCCCTGTATTTCCCGAATAACTGACTTTGTCAGCATATCATTGTCAAGTACATAGTGGTTGACTATTGTGGGTCAAAAATTTGAGACACAAAAGGGTTAAGAAATGACTCCGGACCTCATAATTAATTGCCATGGAGCAGGTATTAAAACATTTGACCCCAGTCCAGGACTGCCTACTTGGTCTCTAATGAGAGCCCTTCTGGGATCTTGATAGGATAAGATGCATGACTTGGGAGGTCTGTCAGGAGCTCTGATAAAGACCAGGCAGTGGCCGGGCACGGTGGCTCACGCCTGTAATCCCAACACTTTTGGAGGCTGAGGCGGGCGGATCACGAGATCAGGAGTTCAAGACCAGCCTGACCAACATGGTGAAACCCCATCTCTACTTAAAATACAAAAATTAGCCGGGCGTGGTGGTGGGTGCCTGTAATCCCAGCTACTCAGGAGGCTGAGGCAGGAGAATCGCTTGAACCCGGGAGGCGGAGGTTTCAGTGAGCCGAGATCATGCCACTGCACTCCAGCCTGGGCGACAGAGTGAGACTCCGTTTCGGGGGGTGGGGGGAAAGACCAGGAAGCAACAAGGCCACTCCACACACAGCCCCTCCACTCTCCACCTGAAGGGTGGTGGTCAGGGAACACGCATGGAGCAGAAGGTCACCAGCGGGCCGGACACAAGGCAGCTGGAATGACCAGGCTTTGAGGTCGGCCTTTCTCAGCAGCGAGGAAGTGCTTCCCCCTCCCAGCCGAGAGGCATTCCTGTCACGGATATTTGTGTCTGAAACATGCACCAGGCCTCCTGCACATGCTCAGGGTCTCAGGGAGGCACAGGTGCCAGGACAGAATTGGGGGGAGTTGGCTGAAGCTGCCACATATGTGAGGCTTCAGAAAAACTTCCAGCTGGCAGCCCGGGCCCCAGTGCCAGTTCTGAGGCACATTTATAAAACTTAATGTGACCAGCATGCTTTCATGATACAAACGGTTCCTTGTAAGACTCAGGCAAGCCTTTTCTTTAGGAAGGGAGAGACAACTTGGCTATGAGCTTTGTGGAAGCAAGGTTCCCTGAAGACAGAAGGGCACAGAGAGGTGACAGTGGGGGGATGTCGCCCCTGGTAGAGTTAGGGAGAGGAACAGAGGAGGACATTTCTTGCTGAACCTGATCCTAATAGCACAGGTATTGAAGATTTCATTCATTCCCTGGGTCACCTTTCCTTTCAGTCAACTTCTTCCCAAATCATTAACAGAAGACAGGACCTTTCTGTTGAATTTATTCTCCAAGTCTCCTTTGTATACCTTCCTTATGTCCCAGGCCCCATCCACAATACCGATCTGAATTTTAAAAGTATTAGTTGACAATAGAATCTGGATCTGTAACCATCATCCTATGCTGCCCACAAACACAGAGGTACTGGAAAAAGAGATACTGTCTATTACAGAAATATATATATATTTATAGGACCACATTTGTTTTCAGATCTATTGAAATATCTCCCCTGCTCAAACACACATACCAGTTCTCAGGGACATGGCAGGCTGACTTTCAGAAGAACATGTTACATACATAAGTCATATTAAAGTTCTTCATTCTTTAAGAATTCTCTACCTCCCTGGGCATGGTGGTTGATGCCTGTAATTCCGGCACTTGGGGAGGCCCAGGCGGGCAGATCACTTGAGGTCAGCAGTTTGAAACCAGCCTGGCCAACATGGTGAAACCCCGTCTCTACTAAAAATACAAAAATTAGCCAGGCATGGTGGCACATACCTGTAATCCTAGCTACTTGGGAGGGCGAGGTTGTAGTGAGCCGAGATCATGCCACTGCACTCCAGCCTGAGTGGGTGATGGGGTGAGACTTGGTTTCAAACAAAACAAAACAAAACAAAAACGAAGAATTCCCTACCTAAAGACGAAAATTACTCTGAAGAGTAATGAGAAGTTCAAGTCCAGTCTACCTGATGATATGAGGAAGAAAGAGAACTGAGTCCCTGACGAGCCAGGTCAGGGGGTCCCATCTGTATAAAGCCTGGGGCCCCTGGGAGGGATGGGACCTCATTCAAGCACTTAATGGGCACACACTTTTCTTTCAAGATTCAAAATACTATGGTGCATCCCCATATTTATGCTTGGGAGGATGGGAAACAATCCTCATTAATCCAAACGACTCGAGACTGACCATCTTCAATCTATTCAGGGTTATAAAAGGGTGTTCTGTTCCTGGAAATAATATAGTGATCCGAATGGCAAACTGTAACCCCCAACAGAATCAATACAGAAGGGTCTGAAGACTCTCACTTGGTGACAGCATACCAGGACGCAACCCACACGTGGGCATCCCTACATGTTCTGTGTGGACCACCTGCCAATCAAAATGAGATCAGTTGCAGCTCCCGGCCCTACTTCTCCCCAAACCAACCTGACTGAACACAAATCCATCCTGATTTCTGGGGGTGGGTAAGAATTCATACTTGGCTTCCAAGCCCTCGATTTAAACAGGCTGAGTCACTCGGGGATGGAAGTATTCAGAAGCTACTGCTCCTGCCAGTGAATCTGGGGGAGTTCTTTGGAATAAGATACATGAGAAGCAAGGCCAGGGCAGAAGATGAGGAGGTGTGCGCATAGAAGGTCAGCCAGATACTCAACACATTAGCATCGTGAAAACAGAACCATCACAAAGGATATCTTGCAGGACTGTCCTTAAGGGCATTTAGGAATCCTGTTTGCTGTGAACCTGTGGGAATGAAACCAACATTTAGTATTCAGACATAAACAGCCTTCGTGCTGAATGCGCTCTCATCTACATAAAAATAATAGATGGCTAAAGAGCAATGAAATAATTCTATTTTGTAAGTGCTACGACACCCAGTTTACTGATCAGAGATTGAGACGCCACTAAAGTTTTTCCCCAAGAAAAGGGAGGATTCATAATCAGGCCCAACATCTGCAGGGTATTTTTTCAATAAAAGCAGATGGATGTCTGCACACTTTCCCATAAATTACAGTTCTGATGACTCCTTTGTTTTCCTCATTTTAATAGGAAAACAGAATACTGCATGCTAGCTTTTCTCTTCTGTTTTCCCCAAATTTGTTAACTTTTGACCCTGGAAGTTCTGGAAACTAGGCTACATATAAAAGACTTCTTTTTGTACACCCAGAGTAAACAAAGTCATAAAGCTGAAATTTATTAGACTTCTTTTGGGTTTTAGACATTTTAATATGAGCTGTCTTAGGCAAGAAAACATTTCTTTAGGGGCTTGAATAAAGAAGCATCTGACAGAAAGCAATTTTTATTTTATGCATTGACATCATACTTTTAAAAATAAAAAAGAGGTAGTTTTAACAATCCCATCTTGGGGTAGCAGTGCCAGGTCCCTCTGTGCTGTGGGAAGCCAATGAGCCTCTGGGGACATCATCCGGCCCTCGTGCAGCAAGGAAATGACACAACAGACGGGTGCTATGGTGTCCCTGTGGCATATGACCGCGGGCACAGCTGCACTGTGGGACTTAGTGGTAGGGGATGAGTGGCCACCGCGTCCCCATGTGCCCCACTATGGGCGACCACCTGGGAAGGTGAAGAGTGGCTTGTTCTTCCCAAGGTCCCTTTCCCTCTGTGCCCACGGCCCATGTGTCTGAGTAGTGGGACACAGGGGGTGGGAGAGGCTGTGGAGAGGAGCTGCGTGGAGCGCCAATCAGGAGAAACGGTGCTTAAGGCTTCCTCCTCCATCTCTGCCAGCCCCGAAGGGCACAGATGCAAGTGCCTGTGCGGCCACGTGGAGGAAACGAAGCCCTGAGGCAGATGAGGGACCAAAAGAAATGATTTCTCTTTCTCTACTGCACCCTAATTATGTGGCTTGCCTAAACCCTCCTTCCTCTCCAAGGAAATCCAGACTTGGCCTTCCCAGGAATCTTGGAGGCCACAGAAATCTCGCCCACCACTCCCTGTCCAGTCCTTTCTCTAAGAGCCCAGGATCCCACAGAGAGACTCAGATGACAGTTCTCCTCTCTGCCTGTGCCAATGTTTTCTGAGGCTTAGGGGGTAACAGGAGCCATGTAAACCCCGTGCCCTTCCCAAAGCATCACATGCCAAGCCAGATAGGGTGGTGGGGTCGTATCGTGGGGTTCACTGAGGAAGGGGTGTCGAACAAGGGAAAAGGAAAAGTTTTATTTTCTTTTGCCCAGAATATTCCAATAACTTACAGGCAGGTAAACTCTTAATACTTTTGTGTAGAAGAAGAGATGCAGTTTTGCAATATTTAAGCATAGACAATAGTAAAATCCAGTTTGGTGGAGCCAGGGTGAGTAAAACCTTAGAGAAGCTGAAAGTGAAATACACATCACAACCGGAGTGCGGTGGCACGTGCAGATTTCACTGTGAGAGTGTGTGTGAGAGCATGTGTGTGTGCAACAGCGTGAGTGTGAGCACAACAGCGTGTGAGTGCAAGAGTGTGTGAGCATACTGGTGAGTATATATGAGTGTGGGTATGGCTAGAGTGTGAGTGTGGATGTAAAAGGGGGGGTGTGTGAGTGTGGGTGTGTAAGGGTATGTGGGTGTGTGGGTGTGTAAGGGTGCATGTGAATGTGGGTGTGTAAGGGTGTGTGTGAGTGGCTGTAAGGGTATGAGTGTGTGAATGTGGGTGTGTAAGGGTGTGTGTAAGAGTATGCGTGTGTGAGCTTATTGGTGAGTATATGAGTGTGAATGTGGCTAGAGTGTGTGGGTGTGTAAGGGTATGTGTGTGTAAGGGTATGTGCGATTATGGGTGTGGGTAAGGTTATGTGTGTGAATGTGGGTGTGTAAGAGTATGTGTGTGTATATATATGGGTGAGTATGTGTGAGTGTGGCTAGTGTGTGAGTGTGGGTGTGTAAGGGTGTGAGTACGTGTGAGGCCATAAGCATGCATGTGTGTGTTCCCTGAGTTTATGTATACGACTAAGCACGTGACAACTGGCCCTTGATATCCACAATGTAGGGACAAGGCCATAAATACAATCCCATAATATACACAAAAGCATCTTGAGGTTGTTAAAGGTGATATAAAAATACAATGTCTAGGCCTGGTGGGATGGCTCACGCCTGTAATCGCAGCACTTTGGGAGGCTGAAGTAGGCAGATCACCGGAGGTCAGGAGTTCGAGACCAGCCTGGCCAAGATGGTGGCCCTCTCTACTAAAAATACAAAAATTAGCCAGGCACTGTGGCCCACGCCTGTAATCCCAGCTACTCGAGGCAGGAGAGCTGTTTGAACCTGGGAGGCGGGGGCTGCAGTGAGCCGAGATCCCGCCACTGCACTCCACCTGGGGCAACAGAGCGACACTCCATCTCAAAAATAAAAATAAAAATGTCCAAACACTGCCTTTCAGTGTCACGTGTGTGCTGGAGGATCGGTTCGTATTTCTTCCCTAGTTGTGTCAACAACTGCTTCTTTGAAAATAACATATAATGCCCTAGTCGTTCTCTCTGCTTCTTTTGTCTGTTAATGCACAGATAGGATCCTAGCCACATTTTTGCCATTTTGAGGACTGCGAAAATAGAGCCAGAGGGTGCCCCTGTCTGCATCCTGCCCAGCTGGTGTGGAAAAGGTGGGAGTCCATTCTCCTCTTGCAAGTCCACCAAGTTATGGCTCTCAAGCACATATTACACGTTTGTGTCACATTTGGATGAAAGATTATAGTCAGAAAGAATGGGAACTAGGATTGAAAGTACCTATGAAAATTTGGGATGGTCCATTTAACGGCCCAGTTTGACTAATATTCAAAAAGAATGAATGCAAAACATTTCCTCCCACCCACTTCCCCACCCCCATAGGAACCCACCAGAAGAGAAAGGGAGGAAGATGTGCTCCTAACATGAGCCTGAGCCCAGCCCACGCCATTTGTGGTTTGAGCACTTCGGCCTGGGAAGGAAGTGAAGCCTTTGTGCAGATACTTACGGAAACATTCCAGAAAGAAGCTACGGACTTGCTAATGAGGGGTTACGCTTCAGGAATGTAGACAAGAGGCAACGCTAGTGCTTAATGTTGTGTTTCGTACTGTAATGGAAGTTCAAAGGCCTAAATTTATAACTCAATGCAAATTCACTTCCTTCTCATTACTTTCTATTGTAGGAAAGTGAATGACCAAGAGACAAAGGAAATTCAAAGTTACAACCCTCAGAACAGGAAATGAAAAAATGCCATTTGCTTAGGCAAATCGATATTGAAATCATTGATTTCCAAATCTAATTTTTAATCAAAGTTGCTTCCTTTCTATGTCAGGGGTAGTTAGCTCATGTTCTAGCAGATACTTAAACATCTTGTCACATGTATGTTTTTGACATATATAGATTTGTGTGCCAGAAAACCTAGTCTTCCTTCCCAGACATCTTTTCTAAGGAGGGTGACTGGTGACTGTTCCTGCATAAGGTGAATTCACATTAAGGAAGAAAACCTTGCTCTTCAATGATCATCACTGCAGCACATTGTCCCTTGTGCAAAATGTGGGGATGAGTCTTCCAGGGGACCCGTTAGCAGGAGAAAAAGTGAGGTCGCTGAGGTTGGAATAGGGACGTGCGTATCGAGGAGGAGGTATTGTTGGTGAAAGCGCAGCCTGGCCCAGGTGTGAACCCTGGAAAATGCTGTGAAAGACGGGGTGGGGAGTGGGGGATGACAGGGGACAGAGGAGGGATGGAGGAGGGTGAGAAACAAAAGCGAGGCAGGCTGGAAGTGAGGAGGGGAAAGGGAGAAAGAAAGGGAAAGAGAGAGCCCGAAATGATCAAAATATTAAATCAAAATCAAATCAGAAAACCAAAGTCAGGCAAATGGTTACATACGTAATCTGATTTCGCCAGCATACTTACGAAGAATGACGTGGGTGATAACGAATGCAAATATAAAGACTGTCAGAAAAGACAGAGATAAAATAAACATATAAAAAAATCTGTAGTTTCTTTTCCCCACACAGTTGCCTACCCAGGGACAGTGGTGATCAAACCGTTCTGAAATGAGAGGCAGAAAAAAAAAAAGTGGAAATCAATTAATAAAATGTCTTTTTACTTGCAGGAGCCCCGCCCCTCCCACCCAATATTCTGATAATATAAGACAATGATATTATTCTGCATGTTTCCAAAATAACTACTCAGAGAAATGTTTCACATCAAGACAGTTCAAGGACATCGTCATTCTTTCAACAGAACGCAGCTGTTTTGAAAAAACAAAGCGTGTGCATTCTTCTTAAATGGCAACTTAAAGAAATAGGAGGGCAAATCTCATTTCTTTTGGAAAGTAAAGATTTCTCTCTTTGGTAAAAGAAACCTCTTTGATTCACTAAACAACAGTCCCTTAAGAGGGAACCAACATCGCCTGATGGTAAGTTCTGGGCTGGGGTTGGATGTCAATCAAGTGACCTTCTTTGCATAGTAAATGGCCATAGAGAGAGGCCACAAGGGGCCTGTGACAGGACAGAGGGACAATCCTTTGTCCTCAGTTACAACCGTTCAGCAGATATCAATCACATTTATTAATACATTTAGCCTCAAAACATTCCTATGAAGAAAACGATGGTGTTACCCTATTTTACAGATGGGCAAACTGAGGCTTAGAGAGATGGGAGACTGCCTGCACCGGGCCATTCAGCTCAGAAGCAGAGGAACTAGAACTTGAGGTCAGGCCTTTGAGAGCTGCTCCCATTTTCTTATCGTACAGGCTGCCTCTGGCACTTTGTAAATGAGAGAGGGTCTGATATGGACATCATTACATGATTACCCATGGTACCCTAAGTGCAGACGCAAGGCCTCTCACCTGGACATCTGCACACAAAGTCTGTAATGCATTTAAGATTTGTTCTTCCCCTTGCAAGTAATGGCAAAGGGCTTCTCTTGACTACTCAGCTGATCTATTGAGAACACCATCCTAACACACCTGCTCATACAAGACTGCCTGTGGCGGCTGGGGAGGACACCGCTGGGCATATGACTTAGCTTTCTCCTCCGGCTCTTTTCTTATTTATTTATTTATTTTTTTTGAGATGGAGTCTCGCTCTGTCGCCCAGGCTGGAGTGCAGTGGCCGGATCTCGGCTCACTGCAAGCTCCGCCTCCTGGGTTCACGCCATTCTCCTGCCTCAGCCTCCCGAGTAGCTGGGACTACAGGTGCCCGCCACCTCGCCCGGCTAGTTTTTTTTTGTGTTTTTTTTTTTTTTTTAGTAGAGAGGGGGTTTTACTGTGTTATCCAGGATGATCTCGATCTCCTGACCTCGTGATCCGCCCGTCTCGGCCTCCCAAAGTGCTGGGATTACAGGCTTGAGCCACCGCGATCAGTTCTCTGGCTCTTTTCTAAGCTGAACTTGTATCCAGTTTTCATATTTCATCTATCTCTATGTGTTTGAAAACATACCGGGAGTGCTATACGAGGTGTGACCATATAACTAAAACCTTATAAAGTTAGGCAAGGCAGTTAGTTTCATGACTTTCCGGTCATGTATCATAAATCGGTCATCTTGTGTTTTTGGTCAAATGCAAACTTGTTTCTTGAAAAGGGCATGAGGACACCTGAATGACAGTGGTGGCAGAGGAACTGCAAGAGAATCATTGCTGTCTGCAAGTGGCAGTAACAAGAAACAGCCAATCTGAGCAGAGGACTTGAGGAGAGATTTCAGAGCTCCCTGACCTGGTGATAAGCTGATGGCCTATGATGGTGATAAGATGCTGACACTCAGTGAAAACAATTTGTATGAGCCTACCCACGTGAGCTACATGTTAACATGTGTTGCTGGCCCCCCATAGCTGAGAGAGCAAACCCTGCACAAAAACCACCTTCCTGGGGCTGGGGAGGGCTGTGCAGGTATATCAGGTGTATCACAGAGAATACCCGGGGCCGGGGAAATACTCTGTGTGATACTGGAATGACAGAAACATACAATCATACGTTTGCCCAAGGCCACAGAATGGACCACACCTAGAGCGAACCCTAAACTGTGGATGTTGGATGATAATGATGTATCAATGCACGTTCATCAATCCTAACAAATTTATCCACTATGATGGGAGATGTTGATAATGGGGGAGGCTGTGCATGTGGAGGGGAGGGGTGGATGGGAACTCTCTGGACCTGCCTCTCCATTTTGCTGTGAACCTAAAACAGCTCTAAAAAAAAAAAATTAAGTGTTTAAATATTAATGACAAACAAACCTCGTTTCCCCAAGTTACTGATCTACACAGTCTGTATAATGAGAGGTCTATCTATGTGACGACGTGCACACAGAGAAAAGAATCTGAATCAGCCAGAATTTCTTAAGACCTGGAGGATGTCATTTTGAGAAACCACTTTTCTTCTCCATGTATGACTAAAGAAAATGGGCATGAGAGTGAAAGCTGGGGGCATAAAAGCACATGCTGGATTGGAATCTCCTACTCACTCTAGGAAGGCTGATCTCTCAACGGTGGGTTTGAGCCTCTTAACTGAAGTGAAAATTGCCTACCAGCAAAGAAGGACATAGGGCCTGGGAGGCATCGTTAACACCAGGGACCAGCATGAAGGTCTTGCAGCACACTACAGACCATTTCTACCATAGGAGTCAGTTGTATTTTTAGCTTAGAAAGTTTAATAACAGCTAAGCTGTGACACTGTGCTTTCCCGACGGAGGCAGAGTAACTACCGAAGTGAAAGCGACAGATGACGCCGCCGAGACAGTTGCTCGTGGAGTCTGGGAGCTTCTTGGGAAACCAGTGCCGTCTTAGAGATGAGTGTGAACTCCTGGCTCTCCAGTAGCCCTGAGCTAAAAGCAGTTCCTGTCTAGAAACTTGTATTGAAAACTTTTTCTGGCAAACTTTTTCTGGGATTTTAGTGGCAGGAATCCCACTAAAAATCTAGGCTCACTGAGAAATTACCCTACTGAATATTTTTCATGTCCTCTGTTGTGTTTGTTGAGTTTATGGTGGTAATGAGTCTGAGAGGCTCAGTGGGTGCCTCCAGGGAGTCAGGAAGCATCAGAGTCCTTGGGCCGGTGGTCTCACCTGCCTAACCCCCACCCCACACTCTTGCACCTCAAGCCTGCGTGCTCTCCCCACCTCCCTGTCTGTGCTTTCCTCTCTGCCCAACATCTGATGATCAGTTGCACCCAGGGTCTCTTTTCCATGGACTGTCTTTTTCTCTCACTGGCAATCCCTTTTCATCCCAAGGTCCACATGCCACTCTGCACTGATGACTCCAGAATGGTGGCCTCTCACCTTCAGCAACAGACTCCTGCTGAACGGCCTGACTGGCCCTCAAACTTGACTTGTCCCAGAGAGGACATCCTGTCCTCCCTCCCCAAACATGTGCCTCTTCAGACTCTCTATCTGACCAGTTGCTCAACTCAGAACCCCAGGCGTCGTTCCTGACCCTGCTCTTTCTCTCACCCCGACATCTAACCCATGGGCAAGTCCAATCAGCTGGACCCTGGCTGCATCTGAAAGACTCTGCTATGGTCTAAATGTGTCCCCCGAAGTTCATGTGTTGGAAACGTAGTCCCCAGTGCAACAGTGTTGAGAGGTGGGGCATTGAAGAGGGGATGAGGTCATGGGGGCTCTGCTCTTATGAATGGTTACTGTGGGAGCAGGTTCCTGATAAAGGAATGATCCCCCTCTGCCTCTCACACTCACTTGCCCTCCCGCCTTCTGCCATGGGAGGACATAGCAAGAAGACCCTTCCCAGATGTAGGCCCCATGGCTGTGGACTTCCCAGCCTCCAGACCTGTAAGAGACTAAATCTCTGTTCTTTATAAATTACCCAGTCTGTAGTACTCTGTTATAGCAGCACAAAATGGAGTAAGACATCCCCACATTTGTTTTACACTTGTGCTTGTCTGCCAACCCTACTCTAAGCCTAACACATATTTGTCAAGTAACTGAATACACTCTCATCCTATCAAAAGGAAATCTGCAGGAGTAAGTGCATTGCCCAAGGTCACACAATTAATGTATCGCAAAGCTGGGATGGGGGCCCAGCTCTGTCTGTCTCCCAACCTGAGCTCCTGTCCATTAAATGCTACACTGCCTTTACTGAGTATTTTCCATGTACCCAGTACTGTATCAGGTGCTTGGAATACTAAGAAGAAACAGCCACAACATAGGACACCATGACTTCAAAGAGTTCCTTGTGTTATTTGGTGAGGACACAATTTTCAGATGCAAAAATACTCCTCAGATCCAAGGAATGAACTCCTAATTTAGCTTCCATGTCAGTCAGCTGGATTGCCATTGTTGGCAGCAGACAGCATTCTTCCTTTTCGGGTCAAGGATGAGAACAGGCCACGGAAAAGCAGTGGCCCTGTCCTGGTGGGAGAACCACCCTCCTGCCTCCAGCTCTGAATGCGCTCAGAGGAGCGGAAGCTAAAGAGCTGTCAGAGTTATAACTTCCAGTGGGGAGGCTAGTGTCATTCAGTATCCAGGATAGAAAGTTGTCAAGAATTAGGCACAAGCTGAGCTGGGGAGAGAGCAAGGGACTGCAACCAACACATGACATAGCTCCCCGGAGCCCAAGTGAGCACATCTGAGAAGCTCCACACAGCCAAACTTAGAGTATTATTTCTATACCTTCTGTGTGGAAAAACTGAATGGCTGTCCTGTGTGCCAGGGGTGGCAGGGTTAGGGGCGCATGTGATGGGAAGTTCTTTAACAAACACTTTGAAGTTGCTGCCACATTCCTTGATTCTAAAGTTTGGGTCCTGCCAGAAGGCAGTGGTCTCTATACCACAGTATCTCTGGAGAACTCATTTTAAAAGATGTATTAGGTCTGGGCACAGTGGCTCATGCCTGCAATCCCAGCACTTTGGGAGGCTGAGGCAGGCAGATCACGAGGTCAGCAGATCAAGACTATCCTGGCCAACATGGTGAAACCCCGTCTCTACTAAAAATACAAAAATTAGTTGGGTGTGGTGGTGTGTGCATATAGTCCCAGCTACTCAGGAAGCTGAGGCAGGAGAATTACTTGAACCTGGGAGGTGGAGGCTGCAAGCTGCAG